ACCTCAGCAATTTGTCAAGGCCCTAAGGACTTAGCGAGACCCTGTCTCAAAATAAAAAATAAAAAAGAGCTGGGGAGGGCTGGAGTTGTGGCTCAGCAGTAGAGTGCTCGCCTAGTATTTGCAAGACCCTGGGTTCGATCCTCAGCACCACATAAAAATAAACAAATAAAATAAAGGTATTGTGTCCAACTAGTACTAAAATATAAATATTTTTAAAAGGGGGCGGGGGCTGGGGAAAAATTAAAAAGTGGCTCAGTGGTTAGGCGTGCCTGGGTTCAATCCCCAGTACTGGAAAAAAACAGTAAAAACTATTCTTAGCTTGTGGACTGCACAGAAATAGGCTGCAGGCCACATATGGCCCATGGGCTATTATGTATTAACCCTGATTTTAAGAAAAGGGAACTCAAGAAAAATATGCAATGTCACAGAATAAAATGTCTAAAAGTGTTCTAACAAGACTAAGCTGCAACAATTACCAACATGTGGCTATTAATTATTTCATTAGTTATTTTGATCACGGAAGAAATTTTTTATGGCAGAACGTACTTTGATCTTCTAAGCTGAAACTACAAACATAGAAAGAAAGGGCAAAGAACAGCTACATGCTGAGTTACCCCAGTATAAACTCTTACAGGGATCAGAGCCATTTAATGGACATTGACTATTTCCCTAAGCAGACATGGTTAATGAAAGTGGAACCATCTGGGCTAGGGTTGTGGCTCAGTGGTAGAGTGCTTGCCTAGCATGTGTGAGGCACTGGGTTCTATTCTCAGCACCGCATATAAATAAATAAATAAAATAATGATCCATCAACACCTAAAAAAATATATTTAAAAAAAAGTGGAAACATCTTAACTTCCTCACACAGGCAAGCATGCAAAATCTAATTCTTCCCGGAAAAGGTGGTGAATTGAATTTATGGAGATGATCATACAGATCAGAAATAACAGCAGCTCATTGTGAAAAGTGACAGACTCAGATTTGGAGCTTTACTGAAGGCTCTGCTACAACCAGCTATGTAATTTTGAGAACATCAACTAAACATTCATTTTCTCATTTATAAAATTAGGGTGGGGCACAAAGAAGATAATTTCTAAGACTCTGCTGTCAAAGTATGACTATTCTAAATAATGAAACCACTCAGGAAATACCTAACAGGAAGAAGGGGGTAGGGCAGGGGAGAGACAGCAAAGGGAAGAAGTTTAGATTGTCCTGTTAGAGGACAGGGCTGAATTATTTGTTCTATCAGCATCTTGTTTCACATAGGGCCATTTTAAGATATCAATATGTATCTGTATCAATATTAAAAGGCAGCCACATCCCATAGGACATATATGATTAATTGTATTACCATTCCTGGTTGTCTTAATGTTATATTTTACAATATAATAATGTTAATAATGGTTATATAAAGGACGTTTTTTGGAACCAATCAATCACAAATTTTTTAAATTTTCAAATATCTGAACTGAAAGGTCAGTTGGTCTTGAACACTGTGCCTATAATTTCTTCAAGTGGATAAAACAACCCATACTCCATGTTTAACAACTATTACCTGAATGATATATACTGGAAGATCCCCAATAAGTCAGATAAAAGAAATCATTGACCACAACAAAGCACAGAAAGGAAATGAAAGAGACAGAGAATGGTAAGAACTTAAGAGAGGAAGAAGAAGAAAGTATCTATAAGACAACTATATCTGGAACCAAAATGATAATGGTCTCCTTCCTTTCATGATGACAGAACCCCAATCACAACAGTGTCTGAAGATGGCAGGCTCCCATTTTTAAAAACTACTCATACTTTGAACAGGCAAAATTAAGACTTAAAAGTATCTTCATGGGAAGAAAACAGACGTGTGTACACATCTACCAAAACACACACGCAAACCCCAGGCATTAAGAAATGAGTATTTCCTGTGATGTAGAGTTTATCAAGTTATGTCTGTAATGCTAAAGCAGACCTTTGTCAAAACCCTTTCACAGAAAACCCCAGAAATTTACACATGTAGGTACAATATGACTGGAGAGGAGATGGGCCACCAACTGTCACCTCAACTTTTCAGATCATTTAAAGATAGGGTAAAGGCTTAGGGGAAGTAACTTTGACTCTAAAGAGGTGAACACCACAATGATGAATCTAGTGGAATTTTTCACTAGAACAGTGTTAACATTCACCTTATTTTCCTAGCTTAATTTCAATGGCAAAGCATTAGGTTTCAGGTACATAAATTCTCCTGCTGTTTGAAGGTAGTGTGCTACCACTTCCTGTTGGAGCTCTGAGGCTAAATAAGAGGCATGGGATTTTCCCCTCCTCCTCCAGGTCAACTGAAGAAGACACAGCTCACAGCTTCTGTTTACCACATCCACCACACAAAAAGATCAAGCTCCCCCATGAGATTCACCCCATTTAATGTCTACCTCCTATTCTAAACTGCTACAGGATGCTGGTTTTCATTTCTTAATAGCTGCAACCCTCCAAAGAAGCTCATTTCAATCATATATATATATATATATATATATATATATATATACATATATATATAATATATAATATTATATTATATTATATATATGCCACACAAGAAAAATTTGAATCCTTCAGAATATATATACATACATATTTACACATATTTATATTTATATTGGATTATTGGGTGCTGAGGATTGAATCTAGGGCCTCATGCCTGCTAATCATGTGCTGTACCACTGAGCTATACATCCCCAGCCCAAAAAAGTAAGAGTTAAAAGCTACTATTTTGCTGGTATGGTGGCACATGCCTGTAATCCCAGAAGCTAGGGAGGCTGAGGCAGAAGGATCATGAGTTCAAAGCCAGCCTCAGCAAAAAGCAAGGTGCCAGGCAACTCAATGAGACCCTTTCTCTAAATAAAATACAAACTAGGACTGGGGATGTGGGAAAATCTCAGTAGTCGAGTACACCTAAGTTCAAGGCCTGTACCCAAAAATAAAAATTAAAAAAAAAAAAAAAAGCTACTATTTTAAAAGGAGCAGATGCCCTTACACGAAATGGGGGACAAAAATTAAGGGTAGGGGGAGAAAAGTAATGAAATTATTATGAACAAGCAAAAAAAAAAATCCAAGGAACTTAACAGAAATATCATCAATGAGACTTACTCACTTTCAAGGCAAGGTATTTCTAGGAGTGTCCCACATAGAATGGGCAAAGGGTACCCACTTGTTAGAAATTGTCCTTTACCAACTGTATTGCAATATGCATTCAACAGTGAAAAAAAGTTATTTGGAGTTTTGAAATTAGTACCAATGTCAAAATTAATGCCTTTTGTTGCTGTACCAGCTCCTACCAAATCTCTTAGGAATATACTTGAGAGATGACATTTAAAATCTGCTTCCTCAGAAAAGAAAAAGTCCCACTCAAGACTGACTGCCAAGAACTTGCAACTTAAACTTCCCTAAGCCCAGACATCATAACACTCAAGAGATTTTAGACCATGCAATCTGTATGAAAGCAATCAGAATAACAAATGAGAGTCTTTTCCAATACTTGAACTGAAAAGTACTCTATACCCATGCATTCTTTTTTTGAAATGATGAATTATCCTTAAAACTCACAAATATTTAAACACACTTATTACCAAGCAGTAGTTCTCTATTATTTCTCAACCCAGAAATGCATGGTGAAATATGAAAGATGTCTTAACAAACTACTATTAGAGGCCAGGCACATCATACAGGCAACCAAAAGCTAAGATTCTTAAGGTACTTACTTAACTCTACTTAATTTAAGGGAAATGATGTTAAGGTCATTTCCACATTCAGCTTAAACCAGTTTTGATTTGTTCTTCAGTTTATAGTAAGTTAGAGATCTTGTTACCTCAACATGTCTTTCACTACAAATGGATGAAGGACAGCTCCCAGTCAACATTAGAAAAAACTCTTGAATCAACTGGAAGTAATTGGGGGGTATATAATATGTTGTGATTCATTTAACAAGTAATAATCAGAACCAAAACAAAATACACAGGCATGCAGGCAGAATTTTAGATCAGTTTCTGGGTTTAAAAGTTAAATATTCAAGTCCCATTCCTCAGGAGATGGTAGTAAAGAGGTGAACCATATTTTCCTGACCACATCATTCATAAAAGTCACCAACAACTTTAACAAACTCAGAACAATTTAATGCTCCATTGACATTATTCTATCATTAGTCATTTTTGTTTTCTCCTTGATCCAACAGAAGTAAAGAGAAAATCATAACCAATGCTTCCAGATATTGGGAAATGTCCTATGCCCCACTGCTTTCCATTTCCTCTCCCTTTTCCATCTTCTCTGATCAACCTCTTTACAATATATGTTGCTTCCCCTTTTCTTTTTCTCACACCCAGCTCTCCTTTACTTTCTCCACCAAGTATTCTCCTGCCATCCACTGGTTCCCGGAACCCTTCTCCCACCTGCAATTTTCTTCTGCCCTCTCTCACGGCATCTACGTCCGGATTTCTTATGGCCAATGTCCCCTCATCTCTCACCTCCCGATCATTCATTTCCCTCAGTTCCCTTCCAATTAACTGCCTGGTCTCACTTCTTGTCCCTGGTGTCCTCTGTTCCTTTACTTCACGTCCCTCTCATTCTTCCCCCTTCACGTTTCCTTCCTCTTTGCTGTTTTTCAATCCATTTTCACATATACTATCCCCTTTTCTCTCTCCCTGAGATTTCCTGTGTTCCCCCACTTTGTCCCTCTGGGATCCCTCCTTGTCAACCTCAGCCCCTGAACCCTCTCGTTTCCCCAACAGCCCTTATTTCTCCGGTTTCCCCTTCCTTTGCCCCCTCCACACCCCCGCCTCACGTCCCCGCCCGCCCCTCTCCCTCAAGCCTTCGCCCTCACTCACAGCCCTCGCCTCCCTACGGTTCTTGAAGTCTCCTCTCCTAGGCTTCCAAGCCCTCGCTCGCCCTCTCCCAGGCCCCCAAGTACCCGCCCCCCATTTCTCACTCCCAGTCCCGGGCCGCGGCCCCTCCCTCACCGATGGTGGAGATGAACGTAGTGTTGAAGGCGTCCTCGGAGAAGCGGAACAGGAGGCAGGTCTTGCCCACGCCCGAGTCGCCGATCAGCAGCAGCTTGAACAGATAATCGTACGTCTTCGCCATCTTCTCGCTCCGGCCCTCTGACCCGAGAGCGAGAGAAGGCGGTGGAGAGAGGCCGGGAGGGGGCCGCGGCTAGGGGGCGTGCCCGCCGAGCCGCCGCTCGCTCCGCCCTGCACCCCGCCCCACCTCCCCGGAGAAGGACTGCGCGCCCCGCCCCGTGGCCAATCCGCGGAGTCTTCGTCATCACCGCCCGCGTCCCGGGGCTTCATGGGACTGGTAGTGCCTTTGGGAAACCTCGGGCGTGCCCGGCGCGGACAGTCCAGACCGCCACAGCAGATGAACTGTTCTGGGTGGTGTGATCTGTGGACTAGGCATTTCCACCCTAGCAGAGAAGGAAGGATTCATTTTGAACTCTGCTTATCGCGCCGTCGGAACTTAACTTGGTTGTTTCTTTGTTTGCAGGCGCCTTCCAAATCCAGGACTTAGGAATCCGAGTCCCGCAGCTCCCGCATTTCTTCCGCTGGGACCCCGGAGCCAGGATGCTTTCTTAGAGTGACTGTGGCGCAGCTTGCAAAGTATTATCCGTCTTCTTCAATTCCTGACCAGCACCACTGCTTAAGCACCCTCCCGCAGTCCCTCAGTCACAGCTGGAAAACAATGATAACCATGATAACTTGAACTGTATTCATGCCGCGGAAACCATGGCCAAAAGTGATGACTCTTTTAGAGGATCTGCTACGCAGACTGCCCCCATCTTTCCGCGGGAGGATGGATTTAAATTTTAGAAATCTGGGAAGGCTGTGCTACAGTTTTATGCCCTATAAAATAACAAGCATCATCGGAGGCGGGAACTTTGGCTATGAGAATTTAAAGAATAAGATTTGGATTTTACAGACAGTACTATCTCCTAGGTGCATATATGATGTTTATACGACCAATGTAATTCTATATCATGTACACCCAGAAGATTGGGAAGTTATACTCCATATATGTATAATATGTCAAAATACATTCTATTTTCATGTATGAATAATTACAACAAATTTTTTAAATTTTGGATTTTAGTCTTGTTTCAGCCGCTTTAACCACTCTGACAAGTCACTGGGGGTTCTTCTGTAAACCTCGGTTTTCTCATCTATAAAATGGATATAGAACAAGCTATTACATAGGGTTGTAGTGAGAATTACATACCTAATGTGAAAGCACTTTGAAAACCATTAGGCACTGAAGAAGTGTTAGTGATGTTTATATTCATCATCCTTCAGTAGGCTTTCAAAGAGTGACAAATGAATGGAGAAAATAGCATTGTTATACTCAGTTTAATCCTTTATTATTTATTGTCTTAGACTAATTATTTCGTAGGTGTATTATTCAGTACTCTTTTATTTGCTAGTGGTAGAAACCCAATCAGATCAAGCTCCTATGAAAGGAGATTTTACTGGTTCCTGTGATATAGAGGAGTAGCTTAGGAGACCAGGAGCCCCATTTCCATCAAGAACCTCCTCTTATCCCTTTTCAGTTTTAATGTCTTAATATGTCAAATTCCAACAGCTAAAACCCATATGTTAAAAAAAAAACATGAATAAAAACTTTTTGGAGTCCTAGAAACTTTTTAAGAAAATAAAGGGATCCTGAAACCAAAATATGAGAGAACCACTGACCCAGACATTTACCTTAGATATAAGGAAACACCTGGAAAATTAGAAGTTACTAAAGGAACCAGTGGACTCAACCATCGGTGCAGTAAGAAAAAATAATTGGATAATTAATTGAACAAATCAATAGGCTCTGCTAAGACACATCTTGAGTACCTTGTGATTTCATGTACAATGCCAGTGATGTTAATCCTATTGTGACAGAAAACTTAATATTGGACTAATATTGGCCTTTATCTTCTATGTGGTTAGAAGATGAAAATCAACCACTTACACTTATTGATCATACTGTTCCCAGAGGGCATCAGCTGCTGCTGCTGCTGCTGCTACTGCTGGTATTAACTGGATATCTAATTTCTGGAGCCCACTTGATGAGAACAAAACTCTAATGAGGTCAAAGTCATAGTAATGAGGAAGGATTGAGCTCCCTAATGAGGAAGGATTATGCTCTTTGGCACAAACTGAGCTTCTTTGCCCCAACTAGTCCTTAGGCAAACCTTCCAAGTTGGCTTCAGCCAAGGTCAGAGCAAGTGTGGACAGCTTAGTTCTTTCTATTCCTTCATCTTCCTTCCTGAAAAAAGAAAGATAAAAAAATCTTCAAAGATTAATGGAATCTTCTTTTAAAAAGTGTATATTTATTAAAATAACTTTTTCAGTCCCACCATCTGCATTCAACTCTTGTCATTTTCTTTCTGTAGGAATAAGAACACATTGATATGTAAAGAACTTCAGTTAGAGAAGCTAGAGTGGGAATTTTAAAGTCCCCAAATTTCCTTAGGGGAATTTTGTATATTTATGGGAATTTAAAAAATAATTCTACCTTATTTTCACTTCCTCAGCTTTTCTCTAGTCCCAAATGTATATAATATTGGGACTTTCTAGTTGGTAAGTTTGTGTACCACTGCTATACCATTCCATCATTTTGATCTATTGATACTATTTCAAGAAATATCATATTTTTCTTTTATGCAGTATTCATTTCATATTTTGTGCAATAACATATTTGAGACCAGATTCTTGGTGGTAGTGACTGAGTACTATAGGCTCAAGGCATCGTGCTCAAAGGTTTAGACATTTGTAGAGCTGAGGGTATCACAGATAACAGGTTCCTAATTGCTGTTGTTCTCCAAGTGGTATTAGCAGACTCTTGTCTAAAACTCCATCTTACAATGCTCTGAGGAAAACACATTGATACTTTTTGCCAGTTGCCCAAACCCAACCTGTAAATGCTATATCACTATAGAGTATTAGGCAGACCAGCCATTTAATTTGACTAAGAAAATAATTATTAAAGCAAATGTAGAGTTACCATTCTGCATGACAGCTTAACTACATAAATTTGGTATCCAAGTGTGGATTTTGTTAGACCAGCATTCTTGATTTTAGGAAGCTACTCTTAACCCACAGGTAACTGTAAAACATGGTACTTCACTCTTCTAGCCATAGAGGTTAGCATCTCGCTTTGGCTGGATCAAACTGAATTCTTTCTTGTGATCTTTCTAATGAGAAGGGATGATGGGGCTGTAAGGAGGTCTGTCTGGTATGAAGTCTTATGTGAGCTTTACACTGGTTTTGATCAGAGCTTTAGTTCATTGTTCTGTATTCTCTTATTCCTGCCCTCCTCTATACCTACTTCATCCTCATGCTGACTTTCCTCCTGATAGCAAGCAAGACTGCAATGTTGTATGATTCCAAAGGTGATATTTACCTCCTACAGTAGTTATTCATCTTGGGAGTAAAGACCCCTGAGAATCTACAAACATATTCTTAAGGGTCTATGTGTTCTCTATGCAAGTTTTCTAAATTATTTTAAGAATTTTTAAACTGGTCTAAATTTCTTTATTACACTTGAGTGCTAGAAATGTCACCTTTCTTTATTGCTTAAGTGAAATTAAATGTTGGTGAGATTTCACACACACACACACACACACACACACACGTCAAGGGTGGGAAAAACAGGGATCAGTCATCATTGGGACTTTACCTCCATTTAATAGTGTTGTAGGAAAGCACGGTGCTTATCTGGTCCTGAAAAAATAAAAGCAAAGCAACCTCTGGCCATCAGTTTGCACCATCAGTGTTGACACTTCTGCCCACCCACTCTTGAGTGCTGGCCCTCTGCCATCTGTTGAACACAGCTGTCTCTCTCGAATGCCGCAAAAAATGTCCTTCGTGGTACTTATCTTCACTGACTGATGACTCAACTATCAAATAGTTATCTTTTATTATTGAATAGTTTGTATACTTCTTTGTCTTTTCTCTTAAAACTTAAGTCCTTTGAGGAAAAAGAAGTTGCTAAATTCTTACTGCATCTCCAGCATACCTAGCAGGATGCTTTATACATAGTAGGTACTCAGTTGAGTTGTTGAATGAACGAATAAATATCTAACCATAATACTAGCAATCTAGCTGATTTTAAACATTTAGGACATTCTGGTTTATTATTTGCCATAAGACCTATTTACTTTGGGCCTTGCCAAGACCTTTCTGTTTATACTCCACCTTGTATTTATACGTTATTAATTCTGTAAGCACACTATTCATTGTTGTGTTTAATAAATAAGTGTGATTATATATTGTGTTTCTAGTTTGTCAAGATCACATTGAATGATAAGCCCTTAACAATACCAATTTCTTTTATCACCTGTGTGTCATCTAAAAACATGCTATTTTTTAGTGATATTCTTATGGCATAATTCTATAATTATCTTCATCAGGGAAGGACAAACTGTACTCTTCCACCCACTGATTTTCTGAGCAATCATTGGATGAATAATGTCCACTCAAACAAATATTAATTAAGCTTACATTATGAAACAAGCTCAACAAGGCCCCCTGGAGGATACAAAGAGATCTGCCATGTGGTCCCTGCCCTATATTTGCTCCCAGCTAATTGAGAAGAGAGCAGGTAAGTGAAAAGTTCTATGATAAATGAGAGGCAGATATTTGGCCGATACACACTGCATTTATTACAATAGATCAAGTGTCCATTCTGATTTGTTGACTTTTTAAAAATTTTCTTTACTTACAGATGGACATGTTACCTTTATTTATTTATTTTTATGTGGAGCTAAGGATCAAACCCAGGGCCTCACACTTGCTAGGCAAGTGCTCGACCATTGAATTACAACCCCAGCCCCCTGACAGATTGACTTTTAATTCAGATTGCTGAGGCACCCATCCTGATTGGTTGAATCTTCATTTTGATTATTTGAACATCCATTCTGGTAGGCCAGACTTCCACTCTGATCACATGCTCATGCCAAACTGATTTTTCATATTTTTGCATATGGTCATTGGATGCAAAAGGTAAATAAAAAATGAGATACTGTTTTTAAAAAATGCTGCATGAATGTATATTATCTGCTTGACAAGTCTTTACAGACCCTGCTTCTTATGACAAAGTCAGCATGGTGTAGATGAGATGGGAGGACATTATTCATCCCTCAGTCCTGAGTTAAGGAACATGACTGAATGGGAGG